CAACTTTTTACCAAAGTTTGCACAACAATTCATCGAAACACGATATCTTAATCATTCAGACACTGATTCAAATGTTAATTTGTATTCTGCTTCATGAAAACTGCCTCATGGCACCGATGACATGTACCTTACCAATAATGGTAAAGCTATTGTTGTAGGGATGACGGCTAATTTTGTGCCGGACATGTAGGTGGGACAAACAATTACCAAATTTTGAACTACCGACTATTCCCTATTAAGAACTTACTCATCGTTAAGGGGGTATAAGAATTAAATATCACGTTTAATTTTTAACCTTAGACTTGACCGCATGAAATAAACAATTGTATTCTGCATAATATATCTATGGGTCCCCCATAGGGTCACTTTGATAGTTTTATACGGCCAAGTAGACTTGAGGTAAATCCGAGCGCTCTGATTAGTTTTTACTCGGTTGGGATTTTGCCATACGGACCGTTTTCGCAGAAACGGTCGTAGGCCGTGTGTTCCGACGTATTATTATGTAGTCGCGTGCACGCATGCGCCGTTCAGTGAGTTACGACGTGGTTTTTTCTACTGGCTTTTCCTCCATGTTTGTTTTAAACTTTTACTGTCGGTTTTCCTTAAATAAACGATCAACTTTTTTTCAAATTGCAATCCGCCTGAACACCGTGTATTTTTGTTCTCGAAAATCGGCAAAGTTTGGTCAGACTGCCCTCTAATAAATCATTTCTTATTAACCTCACTTGCTCCAACTGTCTTGGGGCATATTGGCCCTCATTGGGTTTGGATGGACCGAACGCTGCAGGGTCTGTACTGCCACGACCTATAAGTGTGATGTAGAGTTGCAAATTCATGATAAAATATGCTTTATTCTTTGTGTGTGTTGTGCGTCTTTGCTCTATCCATTTTACTTTCCGCGACGAAACGCCATTTTCAAAGCTCTGAGTTTTTCCTTTTTTCACAAATGTTCACAATTGAAAATGAAAAAGGTAAAGAAGAACATTGTAATCGATAGCTTCAGAAAACACATACGTTTACTGTTTTAAGATGGAACAAAAGTCCATGTGACTTGTCTACGTCATAAACAGAGTCATCAAACCGGAGGGAACGACGTACACGGCTACCTCACCAACGGATCTAAACCAAAGGTGTACATAAAGATTTTTGGCCTGGGGAGGGGGGACCAAAAAAAATGGAACAAGCGCCAGGGATACACAACTGAAGCCGCTGCTAAAGTTTGACAATCTCTTCGGGTTTCACTCAATATATAAAAAAGATAACGAGCTTGCCAAAAGTGCGACGCTAAAACAAATCATGCTTGAATCATCTGGGTGGGGAGGGGCCACTGCACGCTCCAAAAGTAAAATCGAGAGATAATAACAACACAAGGATCTATTTGATGCAAAAAAATGTCTGCGTATTTGAATAAAACATCATCTCTTACGATATCACATTTGACCGCAAAACAGATATATAAACTCACGTAAGCTCTCAGAAAAAGGCTAATGTATATGTAGTCCGTCATTACTCTAAAGATCGGTGAACTGAGATGCACCGAGTCGAAACCAACCATTACTAGACCTAATCATCCCGATTAAACGAAGCACCTCGTACACTCTGTAGTTAACGCGCGACTTTCATCTAAGAATGTATGAAAAAATAATAGATAAAGCGATTGTCTCCACTTCAACGAAAATTTAAATTCTAAGGTAATACCACAAGGAGTCTCTTAACCTATTACAATACTTTTAAACTTCTCAGACTGAGATCTACAGTGCTATGAAGTCCTGAGCTATTCATTTGGAAACTTTGTCAATTATACTCCGTCTTACAGGAGGAGCCTGTTTTTGGTTTAAGTTCCATCAAATATAAAACATAACGAAACCACCAGGCTATCTTTTACTTTATAAATNCCACTGACACATTTGTACCCAGATTGTTGTAAGAGGCTGCAACATCAACATGATCAGGTCCAAGCTTCTTCAGACGAATCTCCAGTGCACGCTTATAGTAGTCTTTTGCTTGATCTGTTTCGCCCAGCGCTTTGTGTAAATTACCCAGATTGTTGTAAGAGTCTGCAACATGAACATGATCAGGTCCCAGCTTCTTCAGACGAATCTCCAGTGCATGATTATAGTAGTCTTTTGCTTGATCTGTTTCGCCCAGGTCACTGTGTAAAATACCCAGATTGTTGTAAGAGTCTGCAACCTTAACATGATCAGGTCCCAGCTTCTTCAGACGAATCTCCAGCGCATGATTATAGTAGTCTTTTGCTTGATCTGTTTCGCCCAGGTCACTGTGTAAAGTAGCCAGATTGTTGTAAGACTTTGCAACATTAACATGATCAGGTCCAAGCTTCTTCAGATAAATCTCCAGTGCATGATTATAGTAGTCTTTTGCTTGATCTGTTTCGTCCAGGTCACTGTGTAAAGTACCCAGATTGTTGTAAGAGCCTGCAACATCAACATGATCAGGTCCCAGCCTCTTCAGACGAATCTCCAGTGCATGATTATAGTAGTCTTTTGCTTGATCTGTTTCGCCCAGGTCACTGTGTAAATTTCCCAGATTGTTGTAAGAGGCTGCAACATCGACATGATCAGGTCCCAGCCTCTTCAGACGAATCTCCAGTGCATGATTATGGTAGTCTTTTGCTTGATCTGTTTTGCCCAGCTCCTTATGTACAATACCCAACTTGCTGTAACATGCTGCTTTTTTCAGGTCCTCTCCTTCGTGACTTGATTCAATCATTTTTAACTGCAATTTATAAAAGACTATCGCTGCTCCAAACTCACTATGGTCATGGCACATGTCACCGAGGGTGCAAAGGCCACCAGCGTATGAACTCAAAGACTTAAGTGCTCTTTCGGAGAATTCTGGCTTTTCTCTTCTAATTACCACGTGTTCAAGTTTTAAGCTTAACATCTTTAAATGGGGAGCTAATTTTGTTCCCACATCAATAGAATCGAATTTTTTAAACTTTGAGAATGACATTACAGCCCCATATATCACTTCGTAAACTTCATCCTTTGTGCAATCTTTCGTCGCAGATTTAATAACATCGTGAACAACACCATGAGCTCGAATATAGACACTACTCATTTCTTCTTCTACCTCTTCTTTTTCTTCAATCAGCAATAATGAACATTGATTCATTCTCATTCTGATCATATCTTCATCTTCAAAAGCTTCATCTACTGCTCTGATGTACTCGATAACACCTTCTTGAAGGATCGGCTGTAATGCACACACAGAGAGAAAATTGAATGTGTGATGGAAAATTATATCGTCCGCCATCGCCTTTTCGACAGCGAGTGTTATGGCTTTGGTCATGGAGTTTGGATAGCTTGGATTGATCTCAGCAAGAATGATTTCAGTAGCACTTCGTTTCCCCTCTTCCAATTTCTTCAGGTAGTCACTCCAGCCAAATTTCGAGGATGCCTTACACTGACGAACTTGTCGCACATACGTGGCTGCAGCCGCTAGGGCAAGTGGCTGGTAGTCTAATACCTTAGCAACTTCTTTCTCTATGTCATTAATTGGGATATCAGAAAGAATGCTCAGCAAAGAGCATGCGTCGTTAGGTTGCATTCCTGCGCTGACAGAAATGTTTTGTACGGAAGAGCTTGGTAACGGCATAGACGCAGTGCCCTGCGTTGTTATTAGCATCTGGCCCCTTGCCCACACCTCGTTTCCTGCATCAGGCAAATGACCGCTCGAAAGAGAGTTCCCATTATCAACTACCACCAGCCATGAAGTGTAATGCTTAATTTTTGCACTTATTAGGGACTTGAGATATGAAATCTTCTCGTCTATGTTCAAATCCTTCGAGCCGTAAGTGTTTGTTATTTCATATCCGGGACATTTGCAATGTTGAGCAAAATCGACATACGAATTCAAAATTGTTTCTGGGCTTTCAGCATTCAGTGTCATGACAAATGAAGCTGCGGAAGGTGTTTCTTTGACTTCGTCGTAGAATCGCTTGGCTGCTAAACGGGCCAGCTGAGATTTGCCACTTCCTGGATTTCCTGACAAATACAGTATGCTCATCCCATCATCGGTGCGTTTTAATGTTTGCAGGTTTCGCATAATTTCATCAACTTCAGATTCTCGAGCAGCGATGTCGTGTGTTGGTTTAGGAGGGAGAATGCAAAATGGAGAGACATCTGCGTGTAACTGTTCTTGCAAGGCAAGCCTCTGTTCTTCTTTTACTTGAAGTACCTTTNCGTCCGAGGTAATTAGTTATGATAATCTTACTTAATAAGGTCTCTTAACATTGAATTCCATTCTCTCAGCTCACTTTCTAGTGATCAATAAAGAATCGCTTCTCACTTCATTCAAGTATGATAGCGTTAAGTAAAAACCAGCCATCACTCTTAGATAAATACAAGAGAACTTTGCCAACCTGAGCCGAAATAAATTCCCAGCGTACTGAATAAAATGATACACACCACACGTGACGGTTAACTTTAATTTACGTCAACTCGTGAACTGAGGTTTCTTCACGAATGGAAATTATCACTCTGAAGCTATAGATCGATAACAAAAGCAAATTGAGAGAAAAAAGTTATCTGGAACTCACTTGAATCAGTAACTTAGATAATACATACCGTTCTGGAAGTTTGAGAAACCTTTGGAACACTTAAACTGTCTGCAATCAAAGGTTGAATAGTTAAGAATCACATGCATTTAAAGCTGCACACAGCAGCATATCCGGTGTTTTATGTATCATAAGCTAAATAACGCTGGCATTGTGATTGGTTCTTACCAATGATCGATTGGAGGACAGACGCATTTATCATATGAAACAATCAGAATTCTAGCGCATTAGATCATATCCACATGTATTTTGCGCTATTTAAGTAATAATAAATTGAATAATAGATCATGCATGATGCCGTGGGTCTGTTTAGTAATAGATCACAGAAGACGTCAAAATAGTAAGAACATCAGTGACACACTCTCCTGTGCCTCACGTGACACTTTTGTCATCTATTATTGAACAGATACATGGCAACATGTAATCTATTTTTCTTTTGCTTGAGAAGTATTATGAATAGTTTGTTTTGATTTCTGATCCATCACCTCTTACCGCAAAGTAACACAGAGATTTGAACGACTTTGATCTGATTAGTTAATGAATATTACAAATTCTCATGCTGTTCCTGTTAGATCTGCCGAGGAT